ATTTAATCTAAAAAAATTGAACATGTCCATAGTATAGTATTTTCGTGTCTTTATTGATAGAATAAAATATCACCATGATAAAACCTCCACGTGGAGAATCTTGGGGAAAAAACATATTACTGTGAGGTGTCTGATAGGTTTTGTTGAGGAATTATTTTGTTAATAATTTCTTTTATTTCCCTAAAGGCCCACTTTGTATACATATATACCCACTTCTATACCAACTAAATTTCTTCAAGACTTTCGGGAAATTAAGCATTGAATTAAAATTCCAATATTTGTATCTCTCACAATTCAGTTTTCCCACAATGATACTTAGGATGAGATGTATGCTCTTATTGAATGCAGTTAATTCTTATGATTTAGTCAATAATTTTTTTTTCACTCTATGTTAAGTCATAAAAATCCCTTTGAATTGAATGTTCAAAAATATCACTCCAATTAGTGATTGATGTTAATCATTTATCTTTCGCAACCAAATAATATATTATCAATACATAATAAATGAATAAAAAAATTATAAAAAAAATATGAAAAAGTGAAAAGTTAAGTTTGTAAATATACAATAGATATATTTAATAGTCATTAAATTAGAAAATTTTGAGGGTGATAGCTCCCCTCACCTCCTAAGAAGTTTCACCACTTATTTTAATACATAAATTTTTTACATAAAATCTCAAATCTTCCATTCAAGTATATACGTATGTCACTTTTAAATCACATGTTATGCATCCGAAATAAGGAAATCTTATTCTTCTTATGAAGTCACTCATACAAGAAGTCATATTTTTTCATAAGGGATCTTCACATAAACAAAATCTCATTCCAAAATCTTCATCCCTCCTTAGAATAATTTCACTTAAACAAAACTAATGCCGTTTAAGCTAGATATCTTCTTGCTTAAATGATGCTTCTTCTTGTTTGAATAAGACATCTTCTCACTCACGTGAAATCACAATAGAGTCAGACCTCGTTCTATTAGGAATCTCTCACTTGAGCAAGACAATCTCATTTGAGTTAAAATAAAGTCATAACAACTTTCTCTCCATTGAGAATTTGTTGCTAAAGTGACTAAATCTTTTCTTGATTGAAAAGACTCTGGAAATGATTTATTATCTTTTATTACACTAAGTGACTAAATCTTTTCTTGATTGAAAAGACTCTGAAAATGATTTATTATCTTTTATTACACTTTCACTTGAGAGACAAAATATCATCAAAACGAATAATACAAAATACAAAAATATCTATAGAAGATTCAAACCAAATTCAAAGATATACAAAACAATTTTAATATGTTATACTTATACCAATCTAATTGTTTTACCTAACATTCCACACATTCAACATCTAATATACCTAAGAGCATAACTATTCTAAATCATCCCATATTCATACTCCAAGGAAATCATAACTCATAACAAAATCTATAATTAAACAATTGAGTTTAATACACCATAATTTAAATAATGTGATCAAATCATATTTACAACTCTAGATCATCTATCACATTATACTAACGAAATTGAAAACTAATTTCCCTTATCTTTATTTTGGTATGTCCAAACAAATATTTCAAAAACACCAAAAAATTCTTAATCAATAACTTGAACATGAATATTTTTATATTAATCAAAATTAATGTTTGACCATCACATGCAAGCATCCTAGTCTATATGAAAAAAATACTCTAAAAATATAAAAAAAATTGTTCTATTGAAATTATTTCAAACATGATTATTTTATTCTGTGCCAGAAGTATTGAAACATATTTAAATTTATAAAAATACAAGAAAAGGGAGAGAAAATTTAGAAGAAAAAAAAACAAATAGTAAACATAAAATTTAAATATTTAAACTTGTTATTTATAATATTTTTAGTTTAACTACTAAAACATAAAATTTTATCATATTAAATCATCTTCAATGTTGTAGTTACATTAAATTAGGCCATTACGTAATGCATTTTAAATCGTATTAGCGTTTAAAAAAATGTTTTGCTAGTCATTAATTAAGAAAGGAGTTGAATTAGTGGTAGAAGTAAGTACATATGAACGTGATGATAGTTGTATGGAAGGAAAGGAAGAAGAAGAATGAATGGTGTTGGACATGTTATAATATAGGGCCCCATTGGAGAATTTTTGTGCTTTTGATACGCAGAGAGAGGGAGACAAAGAAAGAAACAAAGCATATTGCATCTTTCACTTCTTATTCCTTTCTTAGATTCTTCCCAGACCCATGCAATGCAAATGCAGTGTATTCATATGTTTCTCTTTTTTTTTTTCAACTCAAGTACATCAACCTCATGGCCCCACTTTATGTCTAAGGCTTCTTAAGCATTCAGATTTTACTCAAATTGATATGCAATTTTTAAATATAATTTGACATGTAATTTTAAATAATTGATTACGATTTTGTTCTTAATATCTCAATAAAATAAAAATAAAAATATATTAATCTCGATTCTTAAGCTAAAACTTCGTAAACGTATCAGAATATAATTAAAATGTGAATAAATTAATTTTTATTACACATTATGTGTTACAGTATATATATCCATATGAGAAAATAAATATTTATTGTAAATCAAAAGAATGAACACTATGTAACAGATGTGAAAGGAAAAAAAAAATAATAGTGTGTGAAGGTTCTTAAATTTTGCTTTCTGGTAATAGATTATATATGTATTTTTACTATTTAAATTTTGACAATCTTCATTAATTATATTGATTTTGCAAAAGTCATTTCTTGTATTTTTCATTACTGTATACGCTAAATTAAATTAAAATAAATCTAAGAAAATTACAAAGTTGATGTTTATTTCTATAAGGAAAATTCAAACTACGAAAACTCTTACAGATAACAAAATCTTTTTATGAAATCATAAGAACAAAGAAGCGTTACAAAAGTCTTCTGTATTATTACATTTCAATATACCAATATATTTTTTTATTATTTTGGAGATTTTTTTATTAAGCGATCTTTTGTATTCTCTTAATCATGTTTTCAAAGTGGCTTGCTTTATTACTTTAGTTGTAATATACTTTTTTAAATACAAGTTATCGATAAACTATTTTTTTTTATAGATTTTCTTCTAATAATTTATTTTCAAAAAACTAACATGATAATTATTTATATTTTGAGATAAGCTATTCTGTTTTAATAAATTATAGATTAAATATATAACTTGTTTTTCTTCTCATGTTGATATAATAAGATTATTATTATCTTTAAAATATTATTCATTTTAAAATTATAGTTTACATTTTATCTTAAAATACATATTGATTATTTTTATAAATTTTTATAAAAATTTGTAAGAAATAAGCTTTTTATAAAATTAAATAATATTTTATAAGAACTTTGTAAAATTAACTAAGTTTTTTTAGTAGTGTGTATTTTAGTGGTTTCATGTTACTTTGTGAATCTTCTTTACAACAAATATCTACATACTATTTAGTTTCTTAGATTGAATATTAATTACTTGAAGGATAAGATTATTATTTGATTTTTGTATTATTTAACGATTCACTATTCTATTATATATATATATATATATATATATATATATATATATATATATATATATATAAAAGAAACATTAAAAATAAAAGTCATTATTCTATAAAAATCATCAAGCATTAAATTCTACATCCTTAAAAGAGTAGTACAAGATTTGAAAATTGAATTTTACATTAAAAATGCTTTAAAAAACATATTTAAATAATTTTTTATATTTTTTTAAGTTAATGAAACCTATTTTTTAAAAACGAACAAATTAGCTGTTTTATCATATTTTTATTTAAAATTTTCATCTTTTGTTCAAATATTTAGGTATTTATATGATATGTTTAGAATATAAAATAAAATTTAAATTAATATAAAAAATTTGAACGATTTATTTATTTTATGTTTAAAAAATAAATTAAACTTCATTTTGCATTTAATTTATATTTTTTCGGGTAAATAGGGCTTACGGCCCAAAATTGAAAATACTAAAAACACCCATGTCTGCGAAGTGAGTCCATGAAATTAAAAAATAATAAAAACATATTGAATAAAAAATAATTAATATAATCTTAAACTTTATAAATTATATATATTATAAAAATAAGTTTTTTTTTAAAACGATAATTAAAAAGAGAGAGTTTCTTTTATGAAATTGAAGAAAATGTTATTTATCATTTTCTTTAAAATTTAAAATGAACGAGTGGCTATTTTTGTGTGTAAATTTGTTACGTTATATTTTGTGTAATATAATGTAAAGAAAGACATAATTGTTATTTTTATAACAGATGTTAGTTGTTAAAACGTTAATTCATTATTAACGTCATCATTCAAATTTATGATATACTTTATCTCTTTTTCAATTCTTTTATCACTTAGTCAATCTTATATTTAATTAGCATAATTGTATATTATCTCATTTCAAATGGAGTCACAAAACATCTTTTTAAGCAGTACACTCTCTATCCTTATTGTCTGTAATAACTACAAGGAGCTTCCTCATCTTTGCCTCGAATTTGGAAGAGAAAGGTGACATGACTTTATTGATCATGAAATATCTAAGCAAAGGTTATGAGCAATGCTATTCTCTTAATAATAGTTGCTTGTTTTGTTTGTAAATTCCATACTTTTTTTTCCCAAGTGTGTAAGGAGATAGGGTGTTACACTTGTTATTGGAGGAAATTTTAACAATTTCACAATTTAGTTTTGAGAATGTAGTTAATTATTCTAGAAATTAAATTCCGGAACTTGCACCAACAACCACCACTCCCTAGTAATATACACATGAAGGTATGATGAAATGGTTTGCAAGAGCAATCAAATTTCTCATTTGGTAGTGTAATTTTACACTATCCCAGATACTGGAATCCCATAGAATGCAATATTAATGCCTTCATAAAATGTTGGCAATCATCAATTACATAAAGTTTTCCATGATACACCAATGAAAGAGATTTGGCTTAGTTAATTCCTGCTGCACGAGTTCATCTGGCCTTAAAGATAAAGTCTTCTTATATCCCTAACCAACTTGTCACAAATGGCATCATTTTGAGCCAAAAACTGTTCAGCTGCTTCTCTACTATCAAAACTTCCCCTTTCAATAATGTAGTTTCCCTCATCTTTCACAATGATTCCATGTTCACAGGCCAAATCTAAGACCTCTGACTCATGGCAAAAGCCTCTTCCAAACTTGATAGCGAGTTCAGCCCTTTTTGTTGCTGCTGGTGCTAGTTTATTTTTCACCACTAGCGCACAGATCAGAACACCCTCTACCTGAAGCACCAGATATCAAAAGAGAAGAATGAAAACGAGGCAAGAGAGGGTGTTTGGGAAAGAATGCGATAAAAGGAGGCAGGACTAAGAATGAGAAATCTTCCTCAAAAAAATAATATAAACTATTCAGTTGGTCGTATTCCCAACTTTGCTTAAGAGCTAACCTTATCCTCAGTTTTGATCAATCTCATTCTTGAAAGTCTCAAACGAACAGCCGCATAGAATTTCAAGGCATTTCCACCACAAGTGACTTCTTCCACAGATCCATATTCCTTAACTGATTTTGGACTAAATCTAATCTGTACATGAAGAGAGTGTTGAATGATATATTTAGTGGTTTGGTATATCTTACTCTAATCGACTTTTCAAACTACAAGGTGCACAAACGCTTAAAGTAACAAGACTTCAACCTGATTAATGAAAATAATGAGTGTTTGAGAGTGAGATAATGAATAGTGAATTTTCCTCAGTGCTTGAGTCATCATTCGGGATTGATAATCACGTTTAGTGTTAACTCCTAATTGATCAAGCTCGCATTTGGGAATGAGGGCAGCAACCTGGAGTGAAAAAATGATCTTATTTTCATGTGAGTAAAACAGAAGAAGAAATGTATTTGAATATCTAGAAACTATCTCATAATAACACTATTGTATCATAAGAATATTTTAGAGTACTCAGATGCCCTCTTAGGAGTGACTTTCATACTTATTGTATTTCATTTGTTTCCTTATGTGGGTAGAGTTAGAAATATTAGTATAAATGGGATTATGGTGTTTTGTAGTTTAGATCACATCAATTCAACATCCATTGTAGATTATTCATTGGCTTATTCTCTCTTTTCCTTCTTCTCTACCTAAATCCTACAATTTCAACGAAATGATTGAAAGAGAATGTAAAAGAATAGGAGGATCCATAAAGCTAGTCTAAATACTTGGATGAAGGTTTGTTACTGCTGTAACTGGGACTCTCATCTTGACAGTCAGGCACTGATATTGGATCTCATGTCATGACAGATTCGATGCAAATGAATTTCACAAAAATGTATGTTTTGCTAAACTAATGAGAATGTCTGCACTTGAAGAGAATTTTATTCTTCTTAAAAATTATTTATTTTACCTGGGGGAAAGATACAAAAATACAAGAAAAGAGACAAAAAAAAAATAACGCAGACTTGAAGGCATGTTCAACATAGTTATGAGAATAGGAGCCAGTATGGTTGTGATTAAAAGCAATCTAAATAAATCCTCTTGCGATATAACATGTGTTAAAGACAAAATAAATTAACTTACACTATCAATCACAATCACATCTACAGCTCCACTTTTTGTTAATGTATCAACCATGCTTAACAAATTTTCAGCACAATCAGGATGTGATACAAGAAGGTTTTCAGTATTTACACCTATTGATTCCACAAGGGAGAAGTCCAGTGCATTTTCTACATCAAGATATGCACAATATCCTGCCAAGAGAACAAATCTATCATATTGACAGGATACAATAAGCTAAACAGCAAACTCCAACAGAATATGACTGAGCATCTTCCATGTGTCAATTGACATGAAATAACACAATTTTGACTCAATATTTTGGTCAACACAAAAGTAAAGGGAATTCACTTTTAGAGACAAATAGCTTAGTGCATTTCATGCATGTTCACACTCCAGTATTGTTATCCTGAACTAGTTCAATTAAATATAAAAGCTTAGATTATCACCAGGAAACTAACCCACTCCCAAGTGAAGGAACGACTTTCAGCTACCTCCAATCCATGTTACATATTTTGTAATTTCTTCTTATATTCTACCTTCAAATTATTTGCTTGGTTTGAAATTAAAAAAATAAAATTCTTCTTTTTTGCCTAAATTCTTTTATATGCTTCACATTTGAAAATTCATGAGAATATATGATGTCAATTGTAGAAAAGAATAATTGATGACGGTTTACAACTTGAGAGCTCATACGGATGTTTCTGTATAGAGACAGAGAGCCATTAACCTGAACATTTTTCCACTTCATAGAAACATAACCGTGCAAAATAAATTCTAATTACATGATTAAAGACTTTACTCACGTTCAAACTTAATATAGCCTGGTAGGGACTGTATATATATATATATATATATATATATATATATATATATATATATATATGCTTCCCTGTATATTTGACCTCTCAAGCATCCTTGTTTTATCCTCCCTCCATTTTCTTATCGGTCCATTACAAAGATAACACACCGGGTGTATTAAGAATTGTAATTAATATTTTTGTTTATATTAGGGAGTATTAAGAATTGTAAATAATATATTTGTTTATATTAGAATTATTTTTTACTTCCTATTCTATCGTTTATAACAAATGTGTAAAGTATTTAAGAATTAAGTGGGGATAAGGGCATGATAGGGAAATAGTAATTAAGATTCTCTTGAACTTCTAAGTGGACAGATAAATATTAAAATTCCTCCTATCAACATTGGACCGATAAAAAGAAATGGAGAGTTTAGCATAAAGAAAATGATTTTCCATAGCATGCTCCATAAGTTCATTATTATTGCTTAGCTAAGAACTGATCGTAATTCCAATCCCCATTAACAACATCAATAGTACTCCAAAGAAACTCGAACAGAAATCTCCATGAACAGACTGTTTTTCTCGGATAATATTGAAGTACTAATTAAGAACTTATATACACGCAGGTCTAACAAGATGAAATACTGATAAGTACCTCCAAGTTTTTGGGCTTCTTTAATAATTTGAAGAGCAAGTGTAGTCTTACCAGCTGCTTCTCGTCCATAAATTTCCACAATCCTACGCTAAAATGGTGAAATGCAATTTACATTAATAAATTCGTGAATATGATGGAAAAAGAATCTTACGCTAGAAGAAAGAATCATCATTTCCAGCCAATTCAGTAAAAAGTTCCCATTTGGACAGGGTAGACCGATGAAAAACCATACTATTGATAGGTGACATATATCAAATTCAAAGTGATAATCTATCATCCAATAGTTATGATCTGGGGAGTGAGAGTGAAAGTGTATTTCAAAATAAGAGAGAGAAAGGCTGCTATAGGAAAATAAATAAATGTTATGAGTCAAGTTTATGTGGTTCACTGCTTTACGCAGCTGATTAGTTCCGAGAGTGAATAAGGGATAATATCATTATAAGGCTTAAAGAAAGATTCCATTTGGCTGCAAACAGTTTAATTTCTGAATGTTATGGGTGTTTCAAGAGCAGAAAGCTGAGAGGAAAGAGGGGGAAAAGTAAAACCTTTTCAAGAGCTACTCTGAAAGAATCATTACAGCTCCATCTCTCTTAAATATGGAGAATCAAAGCGCTTATAATCATAAACTTTCTAACTTCAGTAGAACCCCCCCCCCCCCCCCATTTAGGATACATGATATAAAAGGGCTCTAAGTTTATCATAAAATAAATAATTAACAATGTTAAGAGAAACTATTCTAAGCTTCTACTTTTGCAGATTAATAATGGGAGGATATTAAGTGGGAAAGGAAACTAAGATGAAATCTTAATAGATCTATCTATACTTAAATATCAATATTCAACACTTCTAGTAGCCATACTTTAACATTGCAAAGATTTTTTTTTTTTCATGCTTAGGTTTCATATAGTAAATCCAGAGCATTTGAGGCCATCTAACAATCAGAGCAAAGTAAATATATGTTCTAGAGCTACTGCTAAACAAATTTCACTGGGTCATCCACCAGCAAACTATGAGCGCATAATACATATCCCCATATTATGGATTTAAAACACATTTTCTTACACCAAACAATTGTCAAAACTTTAAAGAGGAGATGCACAAGTCATATTTCACCTTTGGCAACCCTCCTATTCCCAGAGCTAGGTCAAGCTTCAAGGAGCCTGTAGATATCGCATGAGCACGGCGTACACCAAAAAACTTCTGCAGAGATAACATAGATTCCTTGCTAAACTCACTAGCAAGCTGTGATACAGCCATGCAAAGTGCATTAGCTCTCTCTGCTTCTTTGACATCATCATGAATCACATCACATTCTAAATCTGAAGCTTCAGCTGAAATGCTTCCAATGTTATTATTAACACATTCTTTATGATAATTCTATTCTCAAAGACGATAGACATACTTTATTCATACATTTAAACATACTCAAAAATAGAAAGATGCTCACAGATAAAAATTAGTAAGCGTTAATGCCAAATAGACCACACAAACACACAGGTACACTAGGAGACATGGAACTCATACCTGTAGAAGAAAGCGAGCAGGCATTGATGCCAATTCTTGTCATCATTTCTCTACCACCATTCTAGGTACAAAAAAAGCCATAATTTGTCACAAAAGGAGATGAAAATGGTTTAGACAATATTCATTTGGGGACAAGGAAAAACATACTAACACAGTCTAAAGAGACAGAAAACAAAATGCCAAAACCCATTAACATTTTGAAAGAACATCTAATCCCAAAACAAAAATCTCACCAAGGCCAAGTTTCGATAAACTTCTCCCATTAGCTAAAAGCTCATGTATAAGTTAAAATCAGTTTTAGAGAAGTTAATAGGACAGAACATCAATAAATTAGTTCACGTTTAATCTAATTTTAGTTCACAAGACAGATCAGCTTATGTAAAAGCTAATTTTGGTTCAAGCTTATTTTATTTTTCTTTCTTATTTTCTTCTCCAGTTAAGTATTTCTAGAGAAGTTTATCCGATCAGAACCTAAAAGAAACTGAAATGTAACAATTCTTTGAATTAATAACATCAGAGGCACCCTGCTCGATTGAACGATTATCAAACCAAATCCACAATCTGTTCCATACAGCATAACTACACTTCAATTTGCCCTTCAAATTTAACATATTACTTTAAATTAAAAATTAAAACTTTAATAAACGAGACTTAGCCAGTTTCATATTTAACAAGCACACCTTTATATACAGTCCATGGTAAGTTGTTGGAAGCAAATTATGTGAATGAGAGATTTTGGAAAAGGAAAATAAAAACAATGATAATGAAAATGAGTGAGAGAGATAGAGAGAGAGGACCTGGAAAAGTAGAGAAGATGAGAGCAAAGGCGTAGCGAAGATACGGAGACGAGGCAAAAGAGTCATTTTGATGAGACACAGGAGGCGCGTGGTGACACTCGTGGCTTCATAAACATTGGAGACAGCACAACACGAAACTAGCTTTTGCTCATGATGTTCTTCGATCCCAGCTTAGGTATGAAGAAGATGGAAGAAAGAAAACGAGACAAAGGGTTTTTGGCGCTCAAGTTAGTGAACATTAAGACAGAGGAAAAGGGTTTATACTTAGAATAAATACAACTAGATTTTTATCTATTTTCTCTTCCACTTTTTTTTTTTTTTTGACATTGTATTATTTTACTTTTTTTTTTATTTCTTTTCTCCATCATCTCAAATTTCATATATATATATATATATATATATATATATATATATATATATAATAAAGACAAAAAATAAATATATAAATGCAAATTTGAATAAATGACTCATAATTTATAAACATTATTTTATTAATAATTAATAGTAATGTAAATAAAAATACAAAGACTTAAATATTACTTTTAGTTATTTCAATATAAAAAAATGTACTATTACGCAGCAATTTATAAATGTTTTATTGTATATAATATATTTAATATTGATTATTGAAAATCAAATATAATAACAACAACCTTATGATATCGAAAACAAAATTACTATTTATTCAGAATAAAATAAAAGTATGAAGCAGGATAAACATTCAATAATATTTTATTTTCCATATTGGTTTTACCAAATTAGTTCTGTCTTTTCAAAGAGTAATATTTTATACCCTCAATAATATTTTTATAATTTTTCTTACCAGTTTATTAAAAAAATTTGATGAGATAAAAATATTTAATATTGTTTATGTTAATGAATATAAAAAAATGTTTTGGTAGAATAAAAAATTATTTTGGTAAGAAGAGAATAAAATTTATCGAGCCCAATGGCTCTTGGGTGGGTGGCGGAACCGTTGACTGGTTTATATTTTTGTTCACACTTTTTTTCTCAATAAAATCCAGTTTGTGTTCTGCATCGCACCAAATCGAAGCCAGTGATGAGAGCAAACATGGCTGCGGCTACGGCGATCTCTCAGCTCGGATGCTTCTCCGCCGTCCACCGTAGCATGCACCTCCGCCGCCGGTCGCTTCTATTCCCTTCGCCTCGCTCCAAGGTTTTTCTCCTCTTTTTATTTTCCAAATAGTTTATTAGGGTTCGTGTTAAGCAACAATTGCATGCATTAAGCTCGTGAATGTACTAGATATTATGTAGATCTAAAGCATCGCTTTTTAAATCATACTTTACCGAGGGAAGTTTGAAGTAGCAGTCGTTGCAAAAAAAAAAAAAAACTGAACTCTTGCTTCGACAGTTTTAATGTCCAATGAGACGTTTTAGAATCGCAATTTTAGTTTCTTATTATGGATTGGCTCACTGTGTATATTTAGTGCGTGTTTTAATTAATTAGGTTGTTTTGGAAAAAGAAAATATATAATCGCGTTTTGTTTGTGGCTTCTTGATGATTCTTTAATTGATTACTTCTTCTTAATCTGTCTTATCCAAACATGCATTGGTGTTGAAGATGGTGCTTTCTGTTTATACACTTTGGTTTTCTGATTTTGTTGGTTTTAATCATAGGATTTTTTTTTTAATTTGTATTCCTTCTAAACAAGATTACTGGAAAAAGAGAAGGAGCATTGACATAAATCCATGCTATTTAGGAATCCCGTAAGAAAAAACAGCCTGTTGTTACCATAGGCAATATTTTTTTAATCACCGGAAATTGTGTAGAAGTGTCTTTCACTTGATGGGTTTTTAATTTTTAAATATGGAGGTATGACCGTTGTTGCTGTGTGTTCCATCATATCTATCAGCCATGTTTCTCTTGTGACTTGTTTCCTTTCCGGGCATCAGTCAGCCCTTTCTTACCTTGCTTTCCTTCTACTATTTACTTTATTGCGGCTAAGCACACACCATCTACATCTTTCAAATTTGGCATCCATGACTACTTATATATAAGTAGGCCTTATGTGGATAAAGTTTTCCATATATTCTGGAGGAGAAAAATATGAAATAAGCTTTTTCCATAAGCTAAAATTAGCTTATGCATAAACTAATTTTCAGTTAAACTTATAGAAGAAATTTATTTCATTTTTTTCCTACAAGTGATTTATAAAGAAGTTTATCTGAACAAGATCAGTGATGTGTTTTTTCCGCAAGTACTGGATAGAAAAGCTTTATTAATCATATATGCTTGTATGTATATGTAATTGTAGTGAGAATACAAAACTTAAAAAGAGCATAACAGAGTACTGGAAGTCAATATGTTCAAGTATTCAAGTTGGCGCATAGCAGAGTACCATGTTTCTCCACATTTAGGGGAAAGTCTATTATTAAGTCTATGTGCTTGCACATATCTTTCCTTTGATATTGCGGTGTAGTGCTAGACAATATGGACAGGCTTGAATATGAGCATAAATTATATATATATTTTTTAAAATAAAAGTTTGCTAGCGAAATTATTTGATATCGGTACTGAACAGGAAGTATATCTTATTTAGTTATCAGTTGCTATGAGTCTGGAGAGGCATGACACAGATACTGCTGGGACTGATACAAAAAATACACTAAGTTATGCAGCTGATGTGTCAAAGCCCCATGTTGAAGAAAAGCAGAACTCATATTCAACAGAAGACGACCATGACGCTGAAAAAGTAGGTTTTGGAAAGGCAATACAAGAAAGTGTTGATCAACCAAAGAAGACTGCAAAAATTCATGACTTTTGTTTAGGCATTCCGTTTGGTAAGTGTTTCCTTAAGTAGATAATTTGCATATTAGGTAACCTTACTGTTAAGTTATATAATGCATTTCCCTCACTCTGCTTGGTTGGAGGGAAATGGAGGGGGTTTAAAAAGAATTATCTTGTTTGTTTCAGAAGCTTAGAGGGGAGGTCATCGGAGAGATAAAATCCCTCCCTGCTTATGTTTGATTCCCCTTCAATATTGGGGGGTTTTGGAGGGGAGAGAAGATGGTTTACAATTTTTGGATTGTGTAGACTGAATTATCTATTTACTTCAATCTAAACAAAAAGAGGAAAAAGTCACTCATTGGTACATTATTAACGAGTTAACTCTGGCATACACTTTGCATTTTTTATTCCCTGAAAATTTCTAAGTAGTTAATAGTACTGCTTCAGCGGAAAAAAGCAGGAGCGATGTCTGACCATGCGTGACACAAATCACTGGTGCAGCTGCTTTTTGCTGCAAGATTAGGTTATCTGATTTGTTTTATCATTTTTTTAATCTTATTTATCGTTTAAGCCTTTTCCATTAAGTCCCCTTATTAATTGTTCAGTTACATTTCCTATTGTAAAGATTTAACAAAAGTGCCCCTAATAATGATCTCTTTCTTTCTTCCCACTTTAATTCCCCACTTTTTTACGAAGTGTAACGCTTTTAAGTCTCCCCTATTGAGTCCCTCTTTCGTACGAAAATGTGAGAACGTGAAGACTTTATGTTTCCCTTTTTTCAATTTTTTTTTTTTGTGTGTATGATATAATATTATTAGTTATATATATTGTTTTCTAAACTTCGCAGTAGAGGCCATCCTGCTATTTGCTATCCCACTATAGTGTTTGCCACGGTAGCCGTTCCACTCTGCTATCCAAGATATACATAAGTTGAATTTGGTGGAAGATGTGAGGTTTTTTTTATGCCCTTATTAGGTCACATCTAGGTAAGTAAGTTGAAATTAAATCTTAGTGAAAAGGGTATAGGAAATAATTATACCTTATGTCCAAGTTTCAAGGAGTGTAGTACATTAAGTGAAAACATATTTGAATAATATAGTGAATTGATTTATGTTAGGACATCACTCACAATGACTCACTGGGAAGCTCAGAAATACCTAAGTCTACTAACTAACTATTGGCTGCTTATCATAGCCGAGCCCACTTCATCAATGAGGCAAAGCAACTCAAGTTGGTTTCCAAACACCTGTTTAAGACTTGGGATTGACCTCTGAATGATAATGATCCGAGAGCTCTTCCAAAGTAATGTGTACCTCAAGCTAAACAATTCTTTCCAAGAATGGCTTATAAAAGAGGAATCAGTCATTTAACCATAGTTGCTGTATATCTTGAGAATAAGTTAGTGACTGTCTTGTCCGTACCAGGATGCTTACGCAACAAAAGAGGGTTCTATTGTATCTAAACCCTAAACCCCTATCATCAACGCAAATAGAATGGCCTTATACCCTCTATATTAGGAAAACCCATAATGAAATCTAAGTGTCTTCCCAGGAATCTCGAGCCTGTTAGTCCACCACGTGTAACCTTATGCTTGTTATATTCACTGACATCACAGGACCTCACAAAGTCCTGGATACCTCTCTTGGGCAATCCAGTAGACATGGCAATAGACTAGAGCAGGTTTGACTTTCCCTGTCCTCCCTCCAACCAAGGTCAGACTGTTTGAGTTTACTGAAACAATTTAGCAATATAGCATTTCATTTTCATCTATTTAAATTGTTTATTAGAACAGGTATGTAGAGGGTGGAATTTCTCACTGCAATGAAAGTGAAGGCTTTTTGTCACTCAATGAACTGGTTAAAAGTGGTGATGAAACCCTTTCATCTTCTCTGTTCAGACTCTCCAATATTGGGATACCAGTCACAGGAAGACAAATTGGAAGTTTTATAAAACATAATATCTTGGGCAGAAAACCAGAGCGTAAGGCTCTTTTAAGAGATTGTCTTTCTACCTCAAAATTACGAGTCCCCCATGTTCCCTACATGCCTGCAGCTTCTTTTAAGCTTTAACTAACTGGTCATCTCTCAACAGTGTCAATCCAGCTATTGCCATCTCAACTTACTAACTAACTAGCTTCTTGATGTCCGTTCCTCCTGTAGTAAACTTTCTAGACCCTTAGTCCATCTCTGCTATTGTCCACTAACTGATCATTTATCATTTATCTGAACCTTGGCTGAAAAAAATTGACCTCCTTAAATGCTTTATGAAGTCTAGTGTTACGTAGATTATGGCTTGTTAAACATTTTACACCTACCTGACAGTTTAAATGAGCTGGATATATTCTTTGTGGGTGATTTCTTTGAGACCCGTGACATCAAAATATGGAAATGTAGTACTAATTGTAGTATAGAAATAAAACACGTACCGTACTCTTTGGGAAATTATCTCCTCCCCCTGAAAGATGTTATTTCTCATCTTTATCTTTTTTTTTGTAGGTGGATTAGTTTTAACTGGAGGGATTGTTGGATTCCTTTTTTCAAGGAGTGCTGCAACACTGAGCAGTGGTGTGCTCTTTGGTGGTGCTTTACTGTTGCTCAGCACCCTTAGCTTGAAGGTCTGGAGGCAAGGAAAATCAAGTTTACCGTTTATTTTAGGACAAGCAGGTATGAGATTTAAGCAGTATGAAGATAGTGTTGGTATTAGAATAAAAAGACTGAAACTTAAAAGCTGCAGCATAATCTTATTTGGATAATTGTTATTTTCTCTGTTGACTTGTTTTCTTATTTTACAGCATTGTCAGGGATTCTTATCTGGAAGAACTTCCAAAGTTACTCATTGGTAGTACATCTATCTGACAAAACTGTTCTTATGTTATGTCTCGTTTAATTGTTGTACTTATTTGCTTTTCCTGCCTGATACAGGCAAAGAAAATATTTTCAACTGGCTTTAGTGCTATTATAAGGTATTCCAATCCATTGCTTTTCTCGTATTTAATTATATATTTTGGTCTTGGAAATTGATAGATGTTCTTTTAGGCCCTTGGGTGTTAGATTGTTTTAATTTCGATCTGATTCATCTATGCTTTCGGGAAACTTTTGTTTGCAGTTCTGCAATGCTCTGCTTTTATTTATATGTGCTTATCTCTGGAGGAAATCCCCCACCTAAGAAATTGAAGCCATCTGCCAGCACTGCATAATGAGATAGTCAAGGTTTCGCAAGCCTGTAGAATACGGGGATAGAATATCTTAGTTTTCTGTGAATTGAAAATAAGGTTATAAGCTAAGTTGGCTTTGTTGCTTTTGAAAATAGGGCAGCCAAGAGGTGCAAATGTGATTATTGGATTAGATTCGTAGGCATTTTGTTGAGTATATACTAATAGTATGAAATTTGATGGAAAATATTATTTATTTGTTACAAGTACGTGGTTTCGAAACTTTGCCTACATGGCACGTGCATTTAGATTTTTTGGGGTGAAATTTGGTAGCAAGAACACATTGTTTCTGGTTATTGAGATGACACTGATTGATCATATCTTCGGCACACGGTCACACCCTTTTTGTGATTCAAGTCGCGGGAGAAAATAGCTTATGTTATGCTGTACTAGTCTTACGAAGTAAATTTTTCTCCACTCTGCTGACTGATGCTTAGGTGGTTATCTACCTCACATAATATACACCATTATTGTCACATTAATTTTTCTTGATGTAATATACACGTATAATTATAAATTGTCTCCATAACTTGAAATGCAGTAAAAAAATGACATGAGTATTGCCTTCTCAAATATATATATATATATATATATATATATATATATATATATATAGAGAGAGAGAGAGAGAGAGAGAGAGAGGTATTTCTTCAGAACGTAAAATTAGTGATCTCTGTTCATGACATTCATTGATAACACCTTGAAGTTTTCTTTTTTTTGGTTTGATTTATCGAGAGAAACACATTTTCCCCATAATTGTACGTTAATACTCAATTAAATTCCATGGTTCTACAAACCACAAATATGAATATCTGATTTATATTTTATAAATCACAGTCGTCATCTTATTCACTCCATTTTAGGTGCATCTTCAGAACGGGGTTTTTTGGGTCCAGATGTGCTATGCTGGATATTCAATGTTTTCTGATCAAATTGGATTCAGCTTATATTTTCTCAGATAGACACAGGTCATGCTCATATTATGAAAGAAAAATAAAAATGGAAACAGATGGTGAAGATTAGATATTGCGACGCCGAGAGTTTTCTCCATTGCTAGTGTGGAAAAACGAAGGTAACTTATCCTTTACTTAATTTGATTGAAGACTATTGTAGGGAAACGAAAGATTAACAGGTGTTAAAATAGTGCAGTAAAGTAGCAGTATTTTATTCAGAGCAATGCATACCCAACCAAACAGTATTGGCTATATGAAAAAAAAAAAATATCATGTAATTAATATTGGTACAAATAAAAATGAATCCCGTGTTTCTGATTAAAATAAATATTGAACATAATTTGAGGCTGGAAAATTTATGCTTAATAGGAATAATTTGTGGCAAGCTGGATGAACAATAGGTCTTGCTTTCGTGCTAAACCAAAGCATTTTCTTTTATTATTGTTTTTACGAATAATTTTGTTAGGTTTCATGAATACGAAATTTATTTTAAAATTTAATTTTACCTTAACATGGTAATGACCATAAGAACCGTTATTGAGTTATCTGGATAAAAAATTTCGATGATAATAATAATAATAATAAAAAGGTACTGTCACCTGATGACTCTACCATCAATGCTAAAACTAAATTCATTTTACAAATTAAAGTACATATTTTCTGATTAACTCTGAAAGACATCTTTTACATTTTGTTTTCTGTCTACATAAAAATGTTCTTTTAAGCTTTAGCATGGGTTTAGTAACATGATTTAACCAAATTTTAGTTCGCTGTTAGCAATATGTAACAAAAATATTTATATACATAAAAAGCTTTCTTAATCTTTTTAATTAGATTATTTTAGTAAATTAAAGGGTCCAATCTCTCCTGATAGAGTTTTTAATTACGCACTCAACTTAGACTTTTTTTCCAGAAGAGTATATATTCTAATAATAGCAACCTACATTTCTTGAAGAAATATGTTTCCAACTTATATCCTTTAAAGTATTTGAATAAATTTAAATTATAATTTGAATTATTTAAACAAGAAAATATATCTGTGAATAGTCTTGTAAGAAACAAATGTATTAGACATTGATAAATGGTGAGAAAAAAAAACAGATTATATTTGTGATATTTTTTTCTTTTTCACTTGAAAATTCTTAATTGAATTTTTGATGAAAAATTCCTTTACAAATAAAATAAGAAGAGTAATGAAATTTTAGGCACAATAATATTATAATATACTTCTTTATTTTTAATAAGATATTAGAATTCAATAATTTCGTCTTATATACTAATATAACTCTCCATTTCTAATAATTTCTTAAAGTTACATATACCTTTTATCATTAAGTAACTCATCTATTTCAACCAACAATTCTAGAGTTTTTACTACATGGTTCCACATATAACCTTATATAGCTACATTTTTATCACTATTTCATATATATAAAAAAAGTAGGTGGAAATTGGACTTAAATTTATATATAATTTTTAAACAGTAATATCTCATATACGTTTTGATAAAATAATTAGTACTATAAAATATTGGGATAAAAATATTATAAATATGACTACTTTGTTTTCTATATATATATATATATATATATATATATATATATATATATATATATATATATATATATATATATATATATATATACTCATTTTCATTATTATGCTTATACTTTCGTACTTACTTAACATTAAACAAATTTCAGTCATAATGTTTATAATCAAAACCGAATAAAATAAAATGGATCAAACTTTATTATATAAATATTATTCGAATGCATGCGATTTTTTAATCTTTATTTCATATAAAAATATATATATACATAATTTCAACATCAAAACCAATTAGTAATTATTAAAATAATAATAAGATTGATTACATTAGTATGCATTTAACCCAAACATATAAAATGTTTAAAATTGAACCATGCACCTATGTTTATCTTTTTCTTCCCTTCAAGAAATTATTAGATAATTTAAGATTATCACTTATGCATTATTCTAAAAAAATATTTCTATAACATATTCTTATTTACGAGAAAGAATTAATAATTATGTGTTATATAAAAGTCATCTAATAATTTATTGGATAGATATTTATTTACTTAAGAAACCCGAGGGCACGATCGATAGAAAAAAATTCTTATATAGTCTTAAATTATTTTCATTTATTTTATTTTGTATTGAAAATATTGAAATCTCACATTTAATAAAATTAAAAAAATTAGGTAAGTTATGAAAAAAAAACATTTAATATAATATCTTTAAGATTTTTTATTAAAGATAATATCATGTTATTTTATTAATTAATTCGTGTCTTATTTGTAAGATTTTTTCTGCGTTAACCTATAAAAAATATCCTATAGTTTTCAAATTTAATCTAAAATAATATTTCTTATTATGTGTTTTATAAAGAATGATTTAATCAAGAAGACACGATACCTAATCCTTTTTAATCATATTATTGTATATATATATATATATATATATATATATATATATATATATATATATATATATATATATATATATATATTCCTCTTTCTCATATGATTCAATAAAAAGTGGTGATATATTAGAAAACAAAAGTCAACTTTTTATTGGTTTCAATTTATGAACACAACATTACATTTCATTGAAGAATAATCAATTCATGAACACAACATTACATTTCATTATGATAACCTAAAATGAGATTAATATTAAAAAAAGAAAATAAGGAGATTAAGAAGTTCAATATTAATGCTTATACCTAAATTTCACTTCCATTTGTGTGGAGGAAATGCATGGAAAGACAGATGTTCTTGATTGTTCATGGAGGTTATGGTGTCTCTAAATTTTTTAAATTATTCATATATTTATAATTTTTATCTCCTAACAAATTTTAGAACTTTGATGTAAAAACACACTGATATTTTTCTTTACTGTTTCATTCGATGGTGTACATATTGATAAGCTTTACCAGGATAGTAATAAAAAAAAAAAAAAAAAAACTCACATGTTTATCTGACTGTTTTGAATAATGCAAACTATTTTTAGTTTAAGTGTCTTATTAGTTCTAATCTGCGTTTTATTTCCTTGTCAATGCATTATGTATAAACTTATTTAGCTTGATTATTCACTTATTTCAAATCATTATTTTTTTCTTAATAATTATATTAAAAAAATGATAAAAATGCAAAATATTTTCTCTTATATATATATGAATTTCGTATTGAATAGTTTAGAAACATTTTTTTCTTCATTGTTTTATTTTATCGATTGATTAAGTTTAGTAGCATGCTTATTTAGAACAAAAATAAAGATTGAAATGTAATCATTTTAAATTTGGTATAAATACATAGACTAAGGTTGAGATGTTTATGAATAAAATGATGACACGTGGCAAGGAAAGAAGTTGTTAGAACTATTTGAAAAAGCATTTATTATACATTCTTCAACGCATATTCCACATGCCCAGGATTCAACATATGGAAGGTTTGGATGAGCAGCAGATTAATGATGATAGAAAGATGCATTTCAAAGGCAGAGACATATCATGATCATCACTGTTTGGATGGATGTTGTCGATCACTTGTGGGTTTATGGAGCCATTATCTATCTACTCGCCACCTTCTCAAAAGCAAAAAGCATTGTTAATCAACCCAAAAAACACTCTTTATTCTGGATCTCATCCCAATCCCCAAGAACATCATCATCAAAATAAGGACAACATAGGACGGTGGTGAACAAAAAAAATTATATATGAACTATAAATCTCACCTAAAAAACTGGTTTTTAGTATTAAATTATACTTTATAGTAGTAAGAATATATACATTATCTGTTGTCGATACTTTCATATCTTAAAAATTATAATATACCTATAATTCACTTATATACTATCATATTATTATATCTATAATTTATATTATATTTTTAAAATGTGAAACTTTCAAATATTATATATTATAATATTATTGTATTTATTGTCGATGTAAAGTTTTAAAATATTATATACTGTGATACAGTTTGATCCGAGATCTTTGAAAAGTAA